CCCCACCCCCACCCCATTTTCAGCCTTTTTTGTGGTTTGCCATTCTCAACCCTGAATAATACTTGTCTTTCTTCCCATCCAGGACTACATCCGGGCATCCATGACTTGCGTTAGCTACTTCTACCAGCGCGGAGCTCGCACCTACCTGGACCTGTGTGGCCGTTTGCAGTTTTTGTTCACAGCCCAGCAACATCTACAGGTAGGTATCTTTATGTTAATGACCTGATCAATATCTAATAGGGAGTCAACTTGGAAAGACTGAAGAGTGTTTGTATTACTGGTTTTTGTTTGTGGACTTCCATGAGCGACCGTAACAAGCCTCCTTTGTAAAGTATTGTGGGTGGTTCATTTGAAATGCGGTAAACGTACTGTTTTAGCTGCAGAGTATTCTTTTGTGAAATGTTCTCGGGTTTTCACAGCCCTGACGTTTGAGTAGGTGGGGTCAAATGCCTATCTAAAATTACTCACGAAATGGAGATGAATTCTGAAGTCCTGTATGTATGTGACTCATGTAAAGATGAGCCTCAATAGTTGGAAGTGGAGGAAGAGTAGGCCTTTGACCCTGACAAAAGTTAAGAGGTAGATTTATGTGAATTGGTTCAGGTCAATGAGCAAGAGTGGTTGCAGAAAGTCATCGATGGAAAATGTGTGAGTGGTTTATGTGCGTTTTCAAGACACCTTAGACTGTGGAATTTTACAGTGTAGTTACCGAAACTGCAAAAATTTATTTGGTTGCTTTTAAAACTACTTCCCATCAGAATACCTGTCTTATTTTTCTTGTCTTCAGAACCTTATGAGATTAAGCAGGGGAAAACAGAAGAAGAAAAAGACCCCTTATCTTATCATGTCTTATTTTATCTCGTCTTATGAATCTTGTCTCATCTTATGGTAATATGTTTCCGTCTGACCAGGCATATCTGGACCCTAGCCAGTGGGGCAGCGTGCGCCATCCTCTTGCTCCTGTGACCCCAGTCCAAGGATCATCTCGACAGCAGCTCAGCTGGGACAAGTCATCAGCGGACACGGCAGCAAGGATGACCTTATCTACTGATGAGGTCAAAAAGTGAGTCCTCTGAAATTTCCTGAAATAAGATCAGAGTAAACACCCAGAATCTATTTTTGAGAATATGTGTCGTTTATGTTTGTGTTTGTAAGCACACATAATGTTATCTTTTCATGTATGCAGCACTTGTATCCTCAAGATTTTTCATTGCCTGACTGGGGCAAAAATCCAGCTCCCTAAATGTAATAATAGTAATGATAATAATAGCAATTACAATAATGACAATAATATTTGCATTTATATAGTGCATATCCATACTCTACAGCTTACTGTATGTGCTTTACAACAATTATAAATTGGAAATGATATGTTTTTAACTCCCAGTGTTTTTTCTCAACCGAAACATCAATTATTGTTCTATTGGTTTTTGTATCTTTCCCTCTGTGTGTTCAGACACATTCGGATCATCGCGCTGCAGATTGAAGTGACCAAGTTCTTAGAGCAGTGCATCACACAGTCCTTGGGCAGCGTGGACGGCTCAGGTCCTAGAGCAGGCTCTCAGCAACTGCCCACACTCTTTGGATCAAACACAGCAAAAACAGAGCTGGTTAGCCTGGTGAGTCAATCGTCTGTGTCATTATTTCCTGTTCTCATTCTTAGCCGACAAGGGCCTGTGCACAATGAGTTTTTACTTTCTTTTAATAATAATAATAGATAGCATTTGTATAGCGCATATCCCCGCTCAACAGCAGGCTCTATGCGCTTTACACTATATTATTACCCCAGCAGACCATAGAGCACTCCGAAACATTCTCAGCTTCCCGGGAAGCATACAGTGCGAGCAGCTGATTAAGTGCTCAAACACTAACAAACTGACAAGATCTTTCGCTGTCTATAGCCGGGTACCCATTCCCACCTGGGTGAAGTGAGGAAAATAAATGTAAAGTGCCTTTCCCAAGGACACAACGTCGGGCCCCTAACGGGATTCGAACCCACGACCTTATGGTTGCGAGTCCGAGAGCCTAACCACTAGGCCACCGACGCCATCCTTTCTTTTGCACCTAATGGAAATAAAAGTATATTCTGAAGCTAACCTTACCATTGAGGAAATCCTGAGGGAGAAACAATGTGTACGCTCAGTGGTTTTGGCTGGATGAACACTGGTGCAGCATTTATATTTGCCAGTTTTGAAGGGTTTCAACTCTAGGGCTGCAATTTTCTTTGGCAAGGTTGAACAAGATAGGGTTAATGTAGGGATCTGTAAACCTGGGCATACGGGTCATTTCAGGCATCTTGCAAGCTTGTAAGAAGAGGCTGGAGGATGTACAAATGACATGCCATTATCCGTCTTTTGATCCCCTCTCATGACTTCAATAAATTATTACACCCATCATTTGGCAATGTAAGCCTAGCATTTTCGTGTAATTTTCACATTTCTCTCTTGTTATGAGCTGTTCGTGTATAATATTCGTTGAACAAAATAAGGTTGTTATTTCTTTTAAAGGTTTTTTTTTTGCTTTCACAACCTTCCAAGAACCGGTGTGACTGATTTTTACTTTCACTTTGTAATTCTCTGTGGTTCCTTTTATAATTTTGTGCAGCCCAAGACCCCTCTTTTCTCTCACTATCCCTGTCTTTCTCTGTTTGTCCTTCTTTTCTCTATCATATGCTCTGACCATACACTTATAGCTGAAAACACTACTAAAACTGAATTTTTTTCTTCCTTTCACCAGGTCATCCTCAGCGGTCAGAAACTGAGCACTGGTTTTGAGTTGGGTGTTCGAATTGTAAAGGTAACAGTTTCTAGTTTTTTTGTTGTCTTGCACTGTCTGTTCCAATTTACTTGACTTGTTCGTTTTTAAGCACGTGCATGTTCTTTAACATCTGAATATCTGTCTGGTTTGGATGGTTGATGGGCAGCCTATTGTGCCATTTTCTTTAACTTCATTGTTTTTAAAAAAAAATCTGTTCGCTGTGCATTTTAGCGCCGACTGGCAGTAGACTATATCAACTCGTCTATCTGGTTCTGTTCTTCTTTTAATTTGTATTCTACTTCTTTCATGTCCACTCCTTCCTTTCATTTTGGCTGCCCCTAGTTTGTATGGTAAGCTCCCTTGGTAAGGAATTTGATTTTGAGATGTGGATGTAGACTGAAGCCATGTCAGACATTTCTGAAACGAGGCTATTTATACAACTTTTAACTTTTGGGCATTTCTCAAATCAGACACAGGTAGAGAGTGATTTCCTTTTCAATTACCTTCTGTTTGTAGTATTTGAAATGAAAATAAATTACAAACTACTTTGCAGCACTTTGGTATTTCAGTCTCATACCTATATCCAAGTCATAATAGCATGCCATTGTGAAATATACTTGGCAAAAGTTCAAGTTTTCTATTGTGGAATTGTAGATAGAATTCTCTGTTAATCACTGTCACTGTCTGTCTGTCTGTCTGTCTGTCTGTCTCTTTCTTCTCTCTCTCTCTCTCTCTGTCTCTCTTTCTTTCTCTCTCTCTCTCTCTCTCTCTCTCTCTCTCTC